ACTTTCATGTGAGGCACACGAAGCATGAGCCTTACATCAAAGGCATTGGCGTAGAATACCAATAGGATATCATCAGAATGCAACAGTTATGATACATTACTTGTTCTGATTCGGCATTACTCTAGACGTGTCAACAATAGGCTGAGCTCTGATTCCACCTTACGAATCATTATCAACGAGAACAGAACGGTAACAAAAACAAAGTGACAATAAGTTCCTTCCAATCTTTACGTACCGACTTCTTTTCCACAGACAAAACCTTTTAGATAAGAATAAAAAATGAATAGCTCTTCGATGCACTTCCCTCTCTTACTGAGAAACTTCTCCTGTTCTAGCCAGTATCTAATTCGTTTTTTTCTCGGGGTGTTTTGATAATAAAAGACCCTACGTTGAGCAGAGGCGTCGGACGTCTAGTGGTTAGACCACCGCGGAGTCGGTCCGACGTTATGTCCTTGGGAAAGGCACTTTACCCGAATTTATTATCTGGCTCGGTGCTTTCGGAGATGGACGTTAAAATTGGAGGTCCCGCCTCTTAGATGACCCAGTATTGTCGATACGTTTGAAAGTTGAACAAACAATAAACAAAACTGAATTAAGAATTACCCTTGTCCATGCCCCAAAATCTTCAGGAATAATATTGGAAAATATAGCAGCGAATTCTATTTGTGGGAAGTGTCCCATTTAGTTTACGGGTCTTCGAGTAAGCGTCAGTATCATAATACAGGGTGATTCAAAAGGAATACGCCAAAATCTACACATGATACATGTATTTCAAAAACGTAAAATAGTCGAAAACTCCAGCTTGGACACATTTTTTTGTACATACTTTTAAGTTTAAATTTTAAGTTTTAAAGTGCTTAATGTGGTCAACACTGGCAGCACGGACAAAATCAAGCCGGTAGGAGAATTCCTCCTAAAGGCGCCTCAGGATGTCTCAGTCTGCTGCGTTGATTGTAGCTCTGTTATACGATCTTTTCTGTCATTGATATTTTCTGGAAGTAGTGGCACATAAACTTAGTCTTTAAATTAACCCCACGAGAAATGTCTATTTACTTACTGCACTCAGATTCGAATGATTTCATTCTTCAACAAGATGGAACACTGCCCCACTGGGATCTCTGGGTTCGCTCTTATCTGAATGAAAAACGTGCCATTACCGGTGGATTGGAAGGAGAGGTTCTAAAGGTCTTGCTCTCTGCAGTTGGCATGTCAGATCCCAGACCTCACTATGTCTGACTTTTTCTTGTGTGGTATGTTAAAAACAAAGTTCATGTTCCGCTTCTTCCTGTACATGTCGACGACAAAGAGAAAGATCGAATAACAGCAACAATCAACACGGTGGTCTGAGACATTCAGAGGCGAGTTTGGGTGGAATTTTCATATCGGCTTTATCCGTGCTACTGGTGGTGGCCACATTTAACATTTGTAAAACATGAAATATAAACTTGAAGGTATGAATAACACATGCGTCCAAGCTAAAGTTTTCTATTGTTTTTCGTTTTTGAAATATCGCGTGGTAATTTTGGCGTATTCTTTTTGAACTACTCTGTATTTTGAAATACCTTTTGTGAAAACAGAGTTCAAATGAACATAAAAAAGAGCTATGGAAATATTATAGCTCTTCTACTCTCTCATGCACTCAATTTTATAAAAAGCCTTAACATCATTAGAAGCATTAACCGGCAGTGCTTTAAAGAGCAACATCAGTTTTATAAAGGAATTTAGACAGCGGCTTCATACTGCCTGATACTTCTTTGTAACATTTGTTGCCTACTTTTGTTACATTTAATACTCGCAAACATAATACTATGATATGCATTTAGGGTTGGTGACCTACACACAGACAAGGAAATTTCTTTTACTGGTAAGCTCGAAAACCGCGTAGGTGTGTTGATGTTTTTCTAAGCATAAGAGACCAGAATTCCAGAATAAAAGATTCTGGTCTCTCTTTGAGATACTAAAATATCAAGTCCTTAAACTGTAGTTAGGTGTTACGTTTTTCAACAAAGCTAGGTTGGGTCTCTGTGTAAGAATCGTGCCGGATTAAACGTCTTGATGAACTGGGTCACGCCAGACCGGGAGGGCGCTAGGAAGCGGGGGCGGAAAGGTGTAAGTCTGTGGCCCATCACAACGTTACCTATCGTTCGCCTGTCTGTGACTGGTGACTGGTCCGTGGTTCGGGTACATCATGCGTGTAAAGTGCGCTGAACAAGGCAACGTTTCACTGGTAATTTTTATTTTATTTTATTGTAAACAGGTAAACAGGACGCATGAAAAAGGCTTGAAATAGAAGTTGTTAAAGGTATGAAGTTTTTCAACTTGCAACATGCACCGGCGAAGAATAGACAAGTCAGATGGAGAGAAAGAGAGACACGGCTACACCCAAAAAACGAATTATACCAAGTGTGTTTTACTATATTATTTGCAAGACGTTGCTTCTCATAACAATCAAACATATCATAACGCAACAAAACAATCCAAGTTTCAATGATCGCTCTGTGATAAATACAATGTACTGGTGTAAATAACAGTGATGGGAATGTAATGGAACGCTTATTATACTTTTTAGTTTGATTTTAAAAAGTTTATGGTTCATACACTGACCAT